GAGCAGGGTCTCACTGAGGCGCTTCTGCCCTTCCCACTCACCTGGATGATGGCTGTTAGACAAGCTAATGTTGCTGACACATGGAGTCTCTCCTCTTCCATGGCTGCTATGTCCACATAGCTTGTGTTGGTGACATTGTTAAAGACTTGGAATTTTGACTCCGGAGCCAGCTGCAGACAGATGTTACCCACCAGGATGCTGATGACAGCAAAGGTACCTGCGGTGCCCCACCCAGCCCAGCAAAAGACAGAGGTTTGGACCAATACCCACTACAACCACCAGCGGCCCCAGGATGGCTCCCCAACCCTCAGGAGTCCAACGGAACAGTTGAATAATTCTACTGGGAAAGGTAGTCATGGATAGAGCTTCAGCTCCCAATGATTCCACATTCTTCTTTCCCTCCACCTCACCGTGCTTCAGTTTCCTCTCCAGTTAATAAGGAAAATTTCTTTGCATTTGTACAACCCTTCATGCTTTGCAAAATACTTCCACAAATACTGTATCATGTTAGCCTTGGAACATGAAGTTGGCAGTGCCATTATATTCTTCATTTTATAGAAAATGAGAATCAGACAGAAAGGCTAAGTGAGAAGCCTTTAGGTCATGTAGTAAATAAGTGACAGAGATTGAACTGAAGCCTAGTAGGACTGGAAGAGACTTCAGAAATCATTTAGTCTCATCCCAGTACAAAGCATGGGCCTCTACTTGAAGACACCCGCATCCCCATCCCAGTGCTGGAGAACTCATTTCCCATTAACTTATTGCTCATTAGTAAGGAAAGCTGGCCAATTTCATTTTCAGATTTCTCTAGTTGCCAGGAATTTTCCCCTACATCTGTCTTCCTCTAACTTCTGCCTATTCTCAATTCTGCCTTCTAGGGCCAAGCAGAAGATATATAATTCCCCTTATATGATCATAGGAGCATAGAGAGCTGGAGCTGGAAGGAACTTCAGAAGTTATCACATTTCCCATGACAGCCCTTAAGCTCATTCAAGATCATAACAATATCTTTTCTGAGCTCAGGTTCCCCAGTTCTTTGCACCCGTCCTCAAATGACAGTTTCCAGTCTCTTTACCAACCTTTTGGATGACATGGGACGTACCACCATCTTTTAGATCTTGTACTCATCGACAAAGAGGGTAGGGAGGGGGGATTGAGGGTCAGGAGGCCTTTTACCTGGCACCATCTGATGTACGCCTCCCAAGAAGAAGTAGGTCAGGAGAGGGAAGAAGGATGAGTAGAGGCCATTGACTGCAGGAAGGTTGGCCAACAGTGCAAAAGCCATGCCTGAAGAAGTTATGAAATCATAAGTTTAAAGCTGGAAAGGACCTCAGGAATTGTCCCATCCAGTCTCCTCACTTTACAGTTGAGATGCTGAGGCCCAGAAAGGAGAACAAGGTCACACAAATCCAGGATTTGAAGCCTGGGGCTCTGGCTCTAAGGCTAGACTTAGACCTGCTACACCATGATGATTTTTATCAATGAAGAAGTCTCATTACTTCACAGGTTTACTGATTCCAGCCTAGTATTTAGAAAGCAGGCCATCCGAGGGAATGTACAGTATAGGAAGTAACAAATGTTTAGCCCAATCCTGAGGGGAATCCTAGCCGATGCTCCCCAGTTTGGGCCCCTGAAGTCTAAGGCAGGCACACCTTAAGGTTCAGGATCATAGAAAGTTTAAAAAAATTTTTTATGCAGGGGATATGGTACATCATACCTAGAGTAGGGAGAATCTCTCACCTTGTGGGACCTGGATGGATCCCCCACTCAATCCACCAAGCAGATCAGGCATAATGTAGCTCTTGATCTTGTATTTGGGGAGCCAGGATAGGATAGGGAGAAGCCCAAATACCACAGTTTTGATCTTGGCAGAGGAACATCTGGAAGGAAAGAGAAGAGCATGTCATAGGAGAGACAAGTAGGGAACAGCAACACTCTTGTCCATCAGGAACATCATCAAGGATTGGACATGCTGGGCTGGGAAGTCTTGCACACTACAGCCCCTGCTCATTGAGAGGCACTGATTACGTAAATAACTGATTCATGGTGGACAGAAGGGGAATTCTTTAGCCTATACTAACATTCCTGCAGTATTTGGGTTTAAAACTTTGAATTTTGTGGTAGTCTGACCCATAGCCCCTCTTTTTCTCCTTGTGTCTATTTCTAGGCAGGATTGTATTTGAACCAACCTAAAACTAGAGTCAGCTCCTCATTCCTTAGATATAAACACTGGAGGAGACTCCACTGCCTCCTCAGTGTTGGGTCCTTGCTGATTTATACAATCTTTAAGTTGTGAAAACATGCACACACACACACACACACACACACACACACACACACAAACACCCTCACCTGGGTCCTTTCCCTAGTTAATACACTAACTTACATTGGGGGTGGGTGGGGGAACTTTTCATTGATCTGCACAGGGTGGGGAGAGTTGATCCCTTCCCTGTTTGTCCAAGGCCTTGAGGACTTTTCACTGGAACTCCCCTGGCTGGGGAACAAGGACTTGAGAATGGAGGCTGACAGGAGGTGGATTGATGGGTGGGGGTGGAGGTATGTGTATTTGGGGGGTAACAATTTGCTTTCCAAGTTCCACTTCAATGCAATCACGTACTTGGGGATGGAATCAAGGCCCATTCCGGTGACTCATTTACCTGCTTTGATTAGGCCTTCTTTCTTTACCATCACTGATTCTGACTCTTTGGTATTGCTTAACAATGGTTTCCCCGATATTAGGTCCCCTGGATGTCACCCAAAACCTAAACCAACACAGCAAATGCTTTGTAAAGTCTGGGAAGTCTCCTAGTGCCCCAGAAACTGGGAGAAATTGGTTTCTATAACTTGATTCTCCTATCTAGTAATCAATCAGTCAATAGACAGGCACTGATTCATAGGAACTTAGAATTTAGGACTTAAGAGATTATCTAATCCAAATCTCTCATTTTACAGATGAAGAAATCGAGGCTCAGAGAGTTTAAGGGACTTTCCCAAGGTTTCACACAGCTAACAAGCACATATTAGAAGTGGGATGTGAATCCAAGTTTTCCTGATTTTAAGTCTGGGACTCTATCTAGTGCACAACAATATACCTCTATTAAGTGGTTATTATGTGCCAAGCTGTGTGCTTAGGTGTTAGGGATACAAAGGGACACAATGAAACATTCCCTGCTCTGGAGGGAGACAGTATGTACATTTTTTGGTGTGTACAGAATAAATATAAGGTACTTTAGAGAGAGAAGGTGTGGTACCAGAAAATTAGAGGAATTAGGAAAAACTTTGTATCACAGTGTACATCTGAAGTAAATAAGGGATTCTCTGAGCCAGGAGTGGGGAGGAAAGAATGTATTCTAAGGCTGCACGATAGCCAGTGAAAAGCCAGGGATGCAGGAGAATTGTGTATGAGGGAAAAAAAGAAGCCCAGTTTGGTTGGACCATAGATCATAATAAGGAGATTAATAAATACTGAAGCTAGAAAGGTAGGTTGGGGTCAGGTTTCGAAGGACTTTAAAAGCCAGATAGATGAGCTTTATTTTTAAATAGGGAACCACTGGAGTTTATTGAATAGAAGAATGACATGGTTGGACTCGTGCTTAAGGAAAATCATTTCTGCAGCTGTGTGGAAAATGGATTAGAATGGGGAGAGACTTGAGCTAAGGGAGAACAATAATTGAAATAAGAGGTAATGAGGGACTGAACTAAGATGGCAGCTATGTGATTAGTGAAGAGAAGATGAATACAAGGTATGTTATGGGGGTAGAAACAGATTTGACTTGTGATGGAGAGCAAAAAGTTAAAGATAATGTCCAAGTTGTAAACCTTGTAGACTGGAAGGATGGTGGTTCCCTTGACAGAAGTAGGGAAGTGTGGAAGACCAATGGTAGCATTGGTCAACAGAAAAGTCCTGCCTGTATCTCCTACCTCTCTTGGAGCAGGTAGGCCCATTGACTTCCACTTACTGTGTGAAGACAAAGAAATGGATCAAATAATGCAGAACAAACCTTGAAGCTTCTCTGGAAACTCAGACCAGCTACGGCATCAATAGGCTTATGCCAGTTGTCAGAAGACACTGTTTTTATTTGACTTCTCCTGGGGAGAACTAAAGCCAGCACTGTGCTGGTAGATGTTTAATAACTGGTTCTCCAAAAAAAAAATGAAAAAATGGATGCATTTTAAAGTCGGATCTGCATTATTGATGTTTTCTCCATCACTTTCTTAAATCTAAATAATTAACAAAATAATAAATCAAGCCCTAATTTGTAGTGTGTGCTGATTTCTGAAATGTAAATAATCACGCTGAAATTTAACAAGCTCATAAACATATGTTAAAGCTATACTTTAGGGCTGGTAAATGGCCACCCTTATTTGCAAGTCTGCTTTAATACAAACAAATCTCTCTGAATCTTGAAAAGAGCTAGAAACTGATATTAAATATTGAAGACAGAAAATTGCTAGATCCTACTGGAGATGGACAGGGTGAGGAAAGAGGGTAGTTGTTAGAGAGGAGGTAGAGAGAGTGCGCTCTCAAGTCCATTCCCTGCGTCCACATGGGAAAGGGTGAGAAGTGGGATTGCATTCATCAACCCTTTTTTCTTTATTCCCCAGTCCTTCTTCCCACCTTTCAGGACAATAGCCTTCCCTTTGTTTCTTCTGCCCAGATCCAGAACAGAGCAGGGTATAAGATTTCCTGTGTTTTTTGGATACATTAGCTGGCTGAAGGAACTCTGAATTAGGAGTCAATCATAGCACTGGTGTCAGAGCCTAGAACCACAGTGGGTAAGCCTCCCTTGAAGAGCAGGGTTGGGCCAGGGATTTTAGGCAGAGATTCAAGTGGATGATCCTCCCAGCCGGAACCAGTTCCACCTGCAACACAACCCCAGTCATTGCCAGTGACCTCAATCCAAGAAACTGAATCAGCTGCTCTTTATCTGGCGGTGGTGGTGGGGTGGGGGGTAGAGAGAGCCAACCCATGACAGGTATTGAGGACTGCCAGTCATCTGGGTGGGGAGAGGACCGGGACTTGGGTCCTTAGCACCTCAGAATACTTCCAAGATTAGACTCCTGGGGTTGCTTATATGAGGTTATTTCATCCAGTTCGTTGCCTCTAGGAACCACTTCTGCTTTTGGCAGCCACAGGTTAGAGAAGGGAAGGATGGGGATGGGGCATCCAGGAGAAAAAGCGGATGGGGAGAAGTGAGATCCCTGCTGTCCCCCTTTTTACCCAATCCTCTTGGGCATTGCTAGATATCTGTTTTTTGGGGAGGGGAGGCAGCAAGAGGAGGAGAGCCTATGTGTGGGAGCTCGGAGGGTGAATGTTTCCCTGGCTAGAGGAAGTTGTAGGATTGAGGTGGGATCCCCTATTACTGCTTCTGCAAACCCCAAGTCAAGACATTGCTGATAGCATTCCCCAAGGGAATAATAGAGAAGAGCCTAGGAAAGCCAAGGTGCAATGAGAACTCCATAAAGCGAGTTTGGAGATACTGGAATCCCAAGGTGCCAGAGTGCCCCAACTCTTCCTGTTCTTCCTCCAGGCAGCTCTCTGCAGTTTTGACCCAACAGCTAGTGAGGGGATGACCCTCCACATGGCGATGGTTTCTGGATCCTGAATCAAGGCTGAGGCCCTCACCCGCCCAGGCCCTTTTGTCTTTGTCCCTCCTTGCTCCCATTCCTAAGAATGCTGGCCAGCAGGCCGTGGCTTTCTGATGGCAAGATGGCTGGCACGAAACGATTAGAGAAACCCAAGTTCAGAGCTTGGCATCTTACCTGAAAGCATCACGAAGCTTTTTGCCCACTGGGTAAGTTCTGTCCTTCTTCTCAAATTCCTCATCGAAAAGGGGGAGGGAGTATGCAACTCGGTCTATCACGTATCGAGGCCTGGGCTGGCTCATGTCTGGGACCTCTGCAAGCCCTGTTGGAGAAGGAGGAGGAGATGGTGAGCGGGCATCTCCCCTCAGTGCCCGTGTGGCCTTCTCCCTCCTCTTGCTTTTTAGCTACAGATTTGTCTTCTGGGTTTCCCCCACCCCTTGAACCTGGCACTACCTCTCGTCCAGGAAGGTGCCTCCCTCTTCTCTTTCAAGCCCTTCCACAGGACTCACTTCTTTGGCTCGGTCTTCCCTCCCAGTGACTGATGAAGGAAACACGGAACCTAGTAGATATCTGGCACTCCACACTTGTGAAATCATAGCCTTCAGTAAGGACAAGGGAAGAAGGGTGGGAGCCAGGACAGAACTGAGTTCAAGTTCCTGCTCAACCTCTGATTTCCAACTCACCCTGCTTCCCCACCAACTCCCAAGTTACTACCTCTCTCTGAATCTTGTTTCTCTTCTCATCTATGAGGGAAGGATCAAACTCAGTCACTAAGTGGAGAAGAAATTGTGCAAATAAACTGCCTGCAGGCAGTTTCTAATGTGCCTTCTGATGTGACCTCAGGAGGACCCTACCAGCCTGAAGCGTCAGAGTGAGGTGTCAGAACTAGGCGTCTAGGACTCTACCAACAGGTTTTCCTGGGACAATAGCTTGTTTGGGGAAATCTGGATGGGGCATGCCACCAATTCTCACTCCTACAGCTTCCCGAGCCTAACCCTTTCCCCTCCCTTCTGTACCATCTTCTTATCACCTTGGCCTTTTGACACTCCATGGGTACATGCTAGAGGAGGTACCTTTTGGGGGAGCTTTCCCTCTTTAGTCCTGACCAGGGAGAGACCAGATGGTTATGGGGGTGTTGGTAGGGGTGTTGGAGACACAAATAGAAGGAGATGAGCAAGACGGAGGTGGGATACACTGAGGGGGAAGGGGGAAGGGCAGGGTGTGGGTTAATGCTATGAGGAAGCCAAGAAGGGATAAGCTGAATGTTGGGGGAGGGGGTAAGGAGGTTGGGAGTAGGAGTGGCTGGTTTGGAAAATCATTTGATTTGGGTCTGAAACCGAGTAGCTACATAGAAGGCGGGAATTGCCTCTCCCTCCTTGGCTAAGAGCCACTTGTCCATTTACCCATGGTGAATATTGAAGTAATGCCAGGTGAGACTGGTTTTTTGTTTTTGTTTTGTTTTATTTTATTTTTTTTTTTGTTCTTGACCAGCTCTCAGTTTGGAGGTGGTGATGATTGTCAAATGTGAATAAGTTGGTTGAGGTTGCACAGTTAGCACTGAACTGTAAGCTTAAAAAATCTGGACTCTAACCCAAGCTGTAGTGCTGGCTCACTATATGACCCCAGCCAAGGCATTTTACTTTTCTGGGGCTCAGTTTCTTTGTATTTATGTTGAGGGGGTTGAATTAGATCAATGTTTCTTAGTTGCTGATCAATGTCATATTTTTTTTGACCAGTCTTCAAATTTATTACTGCCAAACATTCCCACTTTTAAAAACCTTATAGACTTGGGGAAAAAAAAAAAAGTAGGCCTATCTTCTCTTCTTTCCCCTGCCTCCCTTCTTTTTTTCAACTACTGATTGAAGCTTCAGAAGGTGAAAGTACCAGCTGCTGATGGAGAATTAATTATTTTGTCAGGCCATGGTATGGTTTGGGTTGTGAAACCCAAAGGTTTCTAAGGTCCTTTCCAGATCCAATTTTCTCAGATGCTTTGTGTTTATTTTCAAGGTCATACCAAGGATGGCTGCTGCTTGCAAAACATGTAATCCTCAGACCCCAAAGCCATGTGTTTCTTCTTTCATCCCTGGCATCTATCCTTTGGGTCATAGAAGTTGCAAGGGACCTTAAAGTTCGGCTGCTCCAGCCCCCTTATTTTGTGGTGAGGAAATAGATCCTAGAGAAGGGAAATAACTTGCCCAGGGTCACACAGATAGTAAATACCACAGTTTGAAGCTGGACTCTTAAGTCCGGTGGTCTTTACTTTGTACCACATTCCCTTGCCACCAAGGATCTGGTAATCAAAGTGGTCTCCACAGACTGAGTGAAAGAATTTATACAGGAGTTTCTGGGGGGTCAAGGAGAAGCAAGAGGATGACAACCCAGACCATACCATTAATAATCATAGCTAACCTTCATAGAGAGCAGTGAGGTGTCACAGTGCATAGAGCACCAGGCCTAGAGTCAGGAAGACCTGAGTTAAAATCTGGCCTCATATACTAGCTGTGTGACCCTAGGCAAGTCACTTAACCCTGTTTGCCTCAGTTTCCTCATCTGTAAAATGATCTGGAAAAGGAAATGCAAACCATTCCAGTATCTCTGCCAAGAAAACCCCAAATGGGGTCATGAAGTGTCATACATGACTGAAACAATGGAACAACAATGACATACTTTCATAGAGCACTTCAAGGTTTGCAAAGTGCTTTACAAATCTCATTTTATTCTCACAAAAACTCTGGGGGGTAGGTTCTGTTATTATTCTCATTTTACAGATGAGGAAACCAAAGGTGACAGAGGTTAAGTGACTGGCCCGGGGTCCAACAGCTAATAAGTATATGAGGTAGGAATAAGGCTCAGGTCTTCCTGGTCCAAAGTCTAGCACTCTATCCACTAAACCACCCAGGATTATAGATTTAGAACCGTAATAGATCTTGGAGGACATTCTGGTCCAACCCTCTCTTTTTATGGAGGAGGAAACTGAGGCCTAGATAGGGGAAATCATTTGCCCAAGGCCACATAGTAAGGTACAGAGCTGGCTATTCTCATTGGCTATAGTCTTCCTTTTAGGTAGGGGTAGGGGGGCAGAAATCAAAGTGAGAGGGGGGAAAATGGAAGTGGGATGTCATATGTATTCATTCACTTGAGGAAAATGAGGAAGTGAGAGGGTGACTTCATGGGCCTTGTCCTTTAAGGGGAGGCTGGTTGGTTGATGGATAGTGGTGACTTGAAAAGCTATTAGCAGAGTGTTTGAAATCCTCCTGAGAAAACATGGGGGTAGTTTCCCCACTCAGTCTGTTTGTCCTATCCTTCCAGATCTCAGGATGTACTGATTTCCTAAAGAGCCAAAAGGAATGGCATGGTAAGAAGGAAGGCTGGTTTCCCAGAGACCCCACAGTAACTTAATGGTCTTTGAACTCACGCCTATGCTATTGAGAACAGGTTAAGTTATGTAGGGCCTACTCCTGTCCCTCTCGCAGCAACAGCCCCAAAGCGGCTCAGTGGTGATGAATTAAAAACAGCTCAGCAACGTGATGTAATGTTAAGGGCTGGAATTGGGATCAGAAAGACTTTGGCTTAAATCCTGACTCTGACTTCAGCTTTGTGCCTGGGAAAGTCCCTTGACCTTTCTGTGTCTGTTTCCTATAAAATGGGGATGGGGCAGTTGTCCCTGTGGCCCCTAGCTCAGAGGGTCGCTGTGAAGCTCACCTAAGACAGCCTATCTTTGTCAGCTTTAAAATGCTATGTAAACATTAAGAGGAGTTGGGGTTTACCTGCCAAGAGTGGTGACCTTGCTTCAGTCACACACAACACGTGGCTGTCTCTTGGAAGATACCTTCCTAGTCTTCATTGAAAGATCAGAAAACTGGTTTTTCTTTGTTTGAAGTAAAAACTAGCCTTTATTTAATAACTAGAAGTTCTAGTCATCATTAATGAATTTAATTTTAATTTATTTAATAATAGAATTTAATTTTAAAATTAAACTCATCCTCTTCCCCAGTCAAACTCCTCCAGAGTTCCCAATGACAACATCATCCTCCTTCCTGTCACTCAGCCTCGAAATCTCAGAGTCATCACTGACCCCACCCTGTCCTCACCCCTACATCCAAACAGTCACCAAGACTGTCAATATAGTTCCTTCATAATTACTTTCATGCATCTGTCGCTTCCTTTCCATTCCCACTACCACCCTCACCCAGGCCCTCGTCACCTCTCACCTAGATTACTGTAATCATCTCCTAAATGGCCTCTCTGCCTCCAGTCTCTCTGGGTTCAATTCACTGCTGCCAGATCAATCGTAAAACACCACTTTGAACACGTAACTCACCCCCTCAAAATATCCTCATTGCCTCCTTGTTGCCTAGAGGATCAAGTCTGGACTCTCCAGATTGGCAAAATCCTCTGTGGTCTAGTCCCAACCTACCTTCTCAGTCTTATCTGTTCCCTATCTGGAGCTTTCCAGTCCAACCACACTCAGTATTGTCTCCAAATAGTTTGTGGATGTATTCCTTCCTCTGAACTATCACTCATGGAGTGGTCATCCTCTTCTTTCTCTCTGTTTACTTGGGTCTGGCCCTTCCTTCAAAGCCCAGCTCAGATTCAGCCTCTTTTTTGAAGCCTCCTCTGACCTCCCCAGACCATAGTGATCTCCTTTCCTCTGGAGTGACATACAAAGTCCTTTCTGCCTGTATCATTCATTTGGTTCTTAACCTGTATTATGTTGCATTGTTATCTTTTTATCTGTACATAACTCATCTCCCTAACTAGTCTTTAAGTTCCTTAAAGGTAGCATTATACTTTATATTGAAAGGTAATGAGATATAGTAGATTGAGCACTAGACTTGGCATCATGAAGACCTGAGTTCAAGTTCTTCCTTGACGTATGGCCCTGGAAAAGTCATTTTCCTAATCTGTAAAATAGGAGGTTGGACCAGATGACCCTCGTGGTCCCTTCCAATTTGAAATCCATAATCATTTGATTCCTCAGTGCCCACTACCTTGCCTGCACATAAAATCATAAGATTTAGAACTGAAAGGGAACCTAGAGGCCACCTCCAAACCCCTCATTTTACAGATGGGAAAACTGAGGCTTAGAGATGGTAAAAGACTCTCCTAATGTCACATTGGTAATAAGTAGTAGAGTTAAAGTTCTAATTTAGGTCTTCTGGTTTTAAATCTAGGACTCTTTTAAAAAAAAATTTTTTTTAAGGCAATT